GTATGTGTGTGTATTTGCATGTGTATATACATATGTATGTATGGGTGTGTATGTATGTATGTATGTATGTGTGTATGTGTATGTGTTGGATGTGTATGGATGTATATGTATGTGTGTATATATATATATGTATGTATATGTATATATGTATGTATAGGTATATATATATGTATGTGTATGTATGTATGTATGTGTATGTATAAGTATGTATGTATGTATGAATGTATACATGGGGCATATGTATGCGTGTATATGTATGTGAAAAGTGTGTGTATATGAATATAGATGAATATGTGTGTGATATGTGAATATATTTTAGGTTTTTGTATATATATATGTATGTGTTTGTGTATGTGTATGTATATGTGTATATATATATGTATATATATGTATGTATATATATGTATATATGTATGTATATGTATATATATGTGTGTATGTGTGTATGTATGTGCATGTACACGTGTCTGGGTGTGTGTGTGTACATGCTAAGTGTATGTACCTACTTGTATATGTTTTTTTTTTTTTGTGTGTATTAGTATGTGTTTTTGAACATAGAAATATTTGGTCCTTGCGAAATGAGACAATCGTTATATTCATCTTCATATATTTATATTTGATTTTAAATTTTAAGCGGCTAAACACAATTTTTTATTTTCCTTCGTCCCATCCTCTCCCCCACCCTTTTCCCCCTTTTTTTTTTTTTTTTTTTTCCTTCCATCCGAATTGTCTGTGGTGTATATGTCACCACGAAATGTATCTTTATGTATTAGACATCCGTCGACTTTCTTTCTCTCTCCTCTTTTTAAATCCACCCCACCCACATCTCCAAAAATTCTCTGTCACTCATCCTCATACTTTACACTTTCTCTAAATTTGTTTTGATTTCCGGAGTTGTTTTTCTGTTTTCATTTTGAATTTGTAGGTCTGATGATTTGGATCATATTTACGATTCCAATGGAATAAATTATGACCATGGAATATTAGTGTTTAAGCCTTTTTTATATATATCCTAGACATTGAGTTCCTCCTGATTTGGAAAAAAATTTTTTTGAAAAATATACATGTATGGGAATTTTTAGATATATTTTTCATATGTATGTATATTTTCCACTAATATCTATATATATATATATATATATATATATATATACAAACCTATATTCTCATCTAAGAGGATCGTCAGGAAGGCTGGGTCTTCCTTGACGATCCGCTAGATGAAACCTGGTAGGTTTGTCTGATTCTCTAGGAAATTATATATATATATATATATATATATATAAATGTTCGGAAACCTGGTAGCTATGAATTAAATATTTTCGATATTCTAAATTGCCTAACTTGATATATATATATATATATATATATATATATATATATATATATATATATATATATATATATATAACTAGGTCTGCTCTACTCATTGTATTGAGCACTTTATTTAGTTATTTTGGGTACTGCATAGGCGTTTTTTCCTTTGGGCCTTGAACTTGTATGATGTACGATTATTTTCGGCTAACGTACATGTTCTTGGTTCTTTCTTTTTTTATATACCTTTTCCCCCTTTGGTATTGGCTTCTATTAATAATAATAATAATAATATATATATATATATATATATATATATATGGAATCATATCAAATAATGTAATAATATCAGTTAGGCAATTTAGAATATGGAAAATATTATTTAATTTATTGCTATATTTCATTTTATATAGGATCATATTATTTATTTTACTACTCTCCAGTTTTCAATCTTTGAGATACCCTGACATTTCTGCGTCCGATTGGTTGCATATTTATGTGTTTGTTTCGTCATAAACCCTTTCTTAATATTCAAATTACGTTTCTCTTTCTCAGACATTTTGATTTTTTTCTCTCGATTCTCTGCGAGCCAAGATTCTTTCTCTTAGAAAATCCGAAAACAAAATTGTCAAAACAGATGGCAAAGAGCGGATGACGACTGTTTGCTTTTGCCAATTTTCGTTTCGATAAGACAAAATTCTTCAGTCGTATCAACTCAATGCTCGTCTCGTGCTCTCTTCACTGCTACATGTGATCCGCTAATGCAATTTGCCAACTGATACATATTCTTTCTTAGACAATTCAACTCGACCAAGTCAAGCGTCTGGAATACTTAAGTAGTCTGCTCGAACAGCGGCCATATTGCGTTACTGACAAGACCAACCACTTTCTGTTCGCTGCTCAATTTATCAATGGAAAACCAGTGAAAAAGGTTACAGGGTCAACACGTCAGCTATTCTAGATGAGCAACGGGTCTAGTGGATATCATTATACGGATTTCCCCCATTAGGAGTAAACGGGATATCTATTGAGAATGAACCGGCTGCATATCAATTCCATTTTTGTATTAGTGAGTTGTCTGTCAGAACTATTCTGATTTTCGCTGACAACTGCTGAAGAATTCTTTGTTGGATTTAGATATTCAGGCTTTTTGTAAAATACAGAAAGTCGGGATCGTCTAATTGGCAGCCTATGTTTCAGTTTATTTTGTTTATATATTTATAGCATTATTATTTTGGGGTGCTTGGCAGTGTCTAAAGATAAAAACTATGAAGATGTGAACGAAAGACTGGATTAAGTTCGGTCAGACTTTTGAGGCGACTATTAAACGAATTCTGTCAGCTTGTCTTGTATTCTGATCTATTTGATTGCAACTCTGCAAATAAAACTTATCGAAAATAGCCTCATTGTTACAGTAAATCCAATGGGTATTAAGTTTCCTGTCAAACGTTGCCGCAGAGAAGCAAATAATCATTTCTTTCTCACCCGAGAATCTCCATATTTGGCTTAATGGTAGAATATTAGGCGAAGGAACACAAAATGAGTTTTTTTTTAAATTTAATTTGCTTGAAGCTGATACATACCTTTTAACACTCGAGGAGTTTCAACGGTGGCAACAACAAAAACGGATAGCACATATAACTCGAATAGAAAATAATGACAAATACAAAACCGGAAATTATGATAAAGCCAAGATATTAACCTAAAAACTTCGGCTGTGTTCCTGATAACTTCGTCAGATAGAGACTTTGATATAAATGTAATGCATGGTGCGAAACACGTTCTGACATTTCGAAACTGTCAGCTGTATGCAACTGATTTCTCAGACCAATTGCTAAAAATCGCTTCGAGTTAATAAAACGTGGAGGTCTTAGCCCAATTAACAAGTGAATGGGGGACATTTTTGAGAGAAGCTGCCATTTTTACGTTATCGGCACCATCGGTCTTTATTAAGACTGGAGTAAATACCTAGTCTGAAACTGATGATATCTGGAAGGTCGTTTATGAAGATAAAAAGAACGTGGATCCGAGTCATACGCGCATTAATGTGATGCGTTGTCCTTCAACACGACTTTCATGTCGCGATTTGTTAAAGATGATTTGATATTATGCCAAATAACCGACCAGAAACACCGTTTTCCCTGATCTAGTGGAGATGGAGAAGAGCAGTATGCCAAATTCTGTCACGTTGCTTCGAGATATCTGAAGCCACAGTTCGAGCCACACCCTTCTTATCTAACGTCTAACAGACAGATCTGAAACAGACATTAACATACTGATGGTGAATTTGAATACCTCAATCATCATCATCATTATCATTCGAACTCCCTATAGTTGGTCGGAACTCCATTGACAATCCATTACCATTCTGTTCTCTCATGTACTGCTGTTCCCAGGTCCCCAATGTCTAACGCTGAGTCCCGAGATATGCTGTCTGGAGAAGTCCATTTTCGTGAGAAGAGACTTCCGGAAGAAAATGGACTTGATACCATAGGAGTAAAGATGAGACGATTTCCCTGTCCGCTCAGTGGCAGTGGCCGGCAAACTGTAATCGTTTTTATTTGAGCTTAAGAGACATTGGTCTCAGTTTTCTGTAAATTGTGTTAAGCGTTGCATGGTATCTTCAATTAGGGTTCTGGATTTTTCTGAGTGGATGTGTATAAATCACACTACCAATGCTACGACAAGTTTCTACATAAAAGAGTTAAAAGAGAGTTAAAAGCAATTTGTCTTGACTTTATTAGAAGTTTTACATGCAAACGTGTTATTCTATGCATTTTTTCACGTGGTGTGTAGACGCTTACAACCGTGTTGAAAAAAAGTCGTTAGTTATAAGAGGTTTAACGATTTAAAAAAATGTTTACGTTTTTGTTATCCGTGATCCTGATAATGTAAGTGGCAGGTTGATAAAAAGTAACCTTGATAAAGCTTCGCAACAGATAAGTAGCCTTTTGATATAAGCGACACTTGTTATTTTATGGAATTATAAGTGGTCATTTGATAGAAGTGTCGTCGATTTTGATAAGTTTCGTGGAAAAGAAGTGATCTTTTGATAGGAATTACATTAATGACGTTTTTTAAAACCATTTTATATTAGTTTTGTCTGTAACCAGGGAATTGAGTTTGTAGTTTTTTAAAAATCATTTCATCAAGTGACTGGATGAGACAAGCGCTCTACTTGTGATGACCTTTTGCTAACGTCGTTTTAAGAAGTAAATGTGCCATGAGAATTTAAGAAATCAATCAATAAGTGTTATATTCCGTGCTAATAGGACTGTACACTTAACAAACATGGCGGATAAAATAAGTAAAGGTTTATTGTAAAACCAGTACAATAAGAAATAAGGTAACACATGATCGTCGCAAGTAAATCCAGTAGTGAGTCCTACTATTGGAAGGTCGGTAGTTCTTGCGTAAGTCTGAGTCGTACTCAACAGATTACAGCTCGACTCCTGTAGTCCGTTGCCTTACTTATATGTAGTTACTATCTATAGTGTAGTCACTGAGGGGGCGACAGGTTATTCCATTACATCAATAAGTTCATCTATATAGCTTTTATATGAACAATTTTAACTTAATGATAATATATAATATGACTATATATATACGTAACAAGGGCGATATTCTTCAGATTAAGTTATCGATCGAACCAAATTCGCAAAATCAAATCTTACAAGATTTTTTTAAAAATGACAAGAGACCGACACTTAAGTAGCAACTCAAGCTGTCCATCATTGAAGACGTGAATCGTCTAGGTAGTTTACGTGTTCGGTACTTTAATTTACTGCGTGTTTTTGACTTTTAGACTTTTTTGTCGTGTTTTCTTTCCTTGTCCAGAATATTTTTCTTGTTTAAAGTATTAATCTTTTGGCAAATTGTTTGTTTTTTATAATGTTTATATATATATATATATATATATATATATATATATATATATATATATATATATATTCATTAAAAGACATTTTATATTTAACGTTGTTTTTATAGATACAAATATTTAAGTAAATGCTCTGTTTATAATAAAACAGTATTAAATAACATTTACCGGCCTGAATGTCCGGAGAAATTTTCATAGTTATGAATGTACGAGATCTCATGGAAGATTGAAGTTTATAAGCAGTAAATTCGACCTTGTCTACTGAACGATTCTTTGTGGCCGATTGGTAAGGCACGTCAGCGTAAATGACGGTTTCGTATAGGATACAGGTTTGAATCCTGTCAAAGAACGAATATTTTCTATGAAAGTTTCTCGACATTCAGGCCGGTAAATGTTATTTATTACTGTTTATCATAAACAGAGCATTTACTTAAATACTTGTATCTATAAAAACAATGTTAAACATAAAATGTCTTTAATGAATAAATTGTCGGACCTTGTCCATTTCTTAATATATATATATATATATATATAAGTCTCAAACACTAATATTCCATGGTTATAATTTATTACATATATATTATATTATATTCTTACTCTGTCCTGGACATTGAGTTCTACTTTGATTCTATCCTCTTGGGAATTTATATATATTTAAACAGAGCATTTACTTGTATATTTTTATCTATAAAAAGAATGTATAAACATAAAATATCTTAAAATAATTGTCGGACATTGTCCATTTCATATATATATATAAATATAAATACGATGACTTGTGACTTCGTGCCAGCACAGCTGTCGACGGCCCTCAAGAGTTCCGTCACCAAATTTCACTCACAAGGCTTGGATCGACCCGTGGTATGGTTTTCAGCCACTTTCCAGAGGTGCCGCATGCTGGTATCGTCCCCCCTCCAGACGGATTACATCATAAAGTTTCCTTCCTGACAAATCGACCATGGTGAGATTTGACCGATAGCCAGAATGCAAACGTTCTTGCCACTTGGTCATGTGCACACACATAAAACACACACACACACACACACACATATATATATATATATATATATATATATATATATATATATATATATATATTGAAAAGCAATTCTCTATTTTATGGCTTTTTCTTTGTGGTTTGTTAAAGGAGTAAGTCTATTAGACTAAACCAAAAGTTTGGAAGAACTTGAAGAGCGAATACAAGAAGTTATGTCTTTCATACCACAAGAATTCCTGCTTAAATCAGTTGATGCGATTCTTGTACGCATCGAGAATCTGGTAACGATATCTGGGGCCCATATCGAATTTTAAATAAAACCTCATGCTAAACGCGTTTCTCTAATAGCTATTTCTTGTAAAAAAATTACAGTTAATAAATAAATTATAAGTATTTTAAAATGGGGGAGTTGCTTTTCACCTTTTCAATCACTATATATATATATATATATATTTGGTTAGATAGATGTGAGTTAAATATGTTAGCTCTATCTCTGATATTGAGCGCTTTCTAATAAATTACCAAGTGCATAATATATGAATAATTATACATATATATATATTTATATACACTTTTCACACACACACACACACATATTATATATATATATATATATATATATTACTTGCTTTTTCACCTTTTTACGCCATTATTATCCCCTCTATATATCGATTGCGTTTAAGTATGAAACAAACTTTCTCCACCCTATGTTGACGTCAGTGTCCACTCTTACATTTACACTTGCTTTATCCCGAATATTGAACAATCTTACATAAATACAGCATAATTTAAAACTAAACGATCTCCTCTCTTTCATATGTGTGTGTGTGTGGTTATTTACTAAGTTCCGTTTGTGACAAGCTAGCAATATATGGCATACAGTGTAAAATAAGGACACAAAGATCTCTCGGACATATCTATCAAAACACTGTATATATCTTTTTATATTTGTCTGTTCCGATCTAACTTTGTCTATTTTTCTTTTCCTATCTATCCTTTGTATATCTATATATCTATTTTTTTGTATATTTATCTGTTCTCATCTATCTTTTGTATATTTGTTACTGTCTTTTATATATTCGTCTGTTACTATCTATCATATATTTGGTTGTTCCTACCTATCTATTGTATTTTTCTCTGTTTCTATCTATCTTTTGTATATTTGACTGTACCTATCTACCCATCTAGCTATCTTTTGTATATTTTTCTGTTCGCATCTATCTTTAGTATGTTTGTCTGGTCCTATGTATCCTATCTGTTGCGCTTTTGTCCGTTCCCCTGTTTCTATCTTTTGTATATTAGTCTGTTTCCCCCACCTCTCACTCTCTCTCTCTCTATATATATATATATATAAATCGATTCTCCCGTCGGGTTCGACGTACGAGGGTCAAGCAGATCAGTTTCCAAGAAACTGACAGCCCGACACCGGCACATGAGATTCGATTATAATGGTGAAGGCTTCGTGCAGGGCCATCCACACTTTTTGTAGGGCCGAATACAGAGACCTGGTGCACCACAAGGTCCCCAAACAACCCCCCTCAGTTTTGAACTCAGAGTTATCCTTCTCCTAGACCAGTTGCCATTCGAGGCTATAGACCCCTGCTGCGCTTAACCCATAGCTGGGGGGAGAAGAAGAGGATTCACACCTTTCCCAAGGGTATTAAGGAACGTAAGGGTCTAACCTGGATCTGAATGAATAATGGGTTCAACCTGGATTCGAACTATATATATATATTCCATAAATAAATAAAAAGGGGAGGCTATACATATATATATATCCATATATAAAGGAGGTGGTATATATAATGGATATATATATATATATATAAATATATATATATATATATATATATATATATATATATATATATATATATATATATATATATATATATATATATATATATATATATATATATATATATATATATATATATATATATATATATATATATATATATATATATATATATATATATATATATATATATACATACACACACACAAATAATAAGAGTATCTGCCTGTAACAGTCCATCAGACGATACTAAACATATAATTCTAGGTAGATGTTTGAATTTTGTAGCAATTTTTGAAATTATCCCGATACGTGTTTCATTTCCTTAAAGCTCTCTCCGGCCTCTAAATCTCCCTCGATTAGCTGGCCACATTACTCTTTCGGGATTATCTTACACGGATGTAGAGGTCTTTCATTAGCTTATGTTTATAAGCTTTGCACTGGCTATGTTCTAAAAGCCCCAAGTATGAGTCTGAGAAATTGATGATAGGTTGCGTTAAGTAATTTTAGGTATGATTTTCTAGCCACCCCATAAGGACTTTGATACATTTTATTTTTAAATTTCTTTAGATACGGAATGAATATTTTTTTTGTCAAAGATTATGCCTAGGAACTTGTTTTTCCACTCTTAGGATTTTAAACAAGGGTCGTTATCGAATTTTATTAATTCGCAGAAATGCAGGTATTTGGTTTTCGTTTTGGAAAAGATAAAACTATTTTCAGTGGCCTTTTTGTGTATTTTATTGAGGCATCGTTGGAATTCTCTTTCTGTGGTATGCATATATCATTATTAGAAAGTCGTCGACATATAGGGAGCATCTCACTCCTGGGGTTAGGGATTTAACTATGCAGAATAGGGTCACTGAAATAAATGTTTCCTTGTGGAAATCATTTCTGATTTAGCAGTTGTGGTAGCGTAATTCCTATACGGACTTGAAGTCTTCGGTCTTCCAGGAAATTTTCTATGAATTAAGTCATCCTTTCTTTTAGACCCAGTTCTGCAGGTCTTTCAAGTTACCAAATTTCCTTGTCGTGTCGTACGCCTTTTGTAAGTTCAAAAAGACAGTCGTCTAATGTTCCTTCTTAATGAAAGCTTCTTACAAAGGTTTCAATACGTATTAAGTGGTTCGTGGTGTTTCCTTTTTTTCTTAAAAGTACACTGGAAGTCCTTTAGTTTCCAGATACCAAGTCAACCTGTTGTTGACCATTATCTATATAGTTTTACATCGGCAAATGGTTAATGCTATCGGTTTGTAGTTTTCAATTTTTGTGCCATCCTTTCCAGGTTTTGGAATAGGGAAGATGAATGACTATCTCCACATTTCTGGGAAGTTACCATTTTTCCATGTGTTATTATACATAAAAGTTATAATTATTTTTTGAGTAACTGTTTTATGAATTCGTAGTGGGTAGCGTCTGGGCCCACAGCTGTATTGTGGGCTATTTTTTTAAAGATTCATTTAATTCCACTAGAATGAATGATAGTGTACAACTCTCGGCATTATTTGATTTAATGTTTAGATTTGTTTTACCGCTTTTTGTTTGAGCTTTAGAAATTTTTGGATATCATACTTCGCAGATGAATTTTTTGAGATTATTTTCGCTAGTTAGTTAGTGATATCCTTTTTTGCTGTTTATTTTACAGTTCTTTATCGAGAGATTTTTTACAGTGTTTGTTTGGTATTTGACTCTATTTTCTTTATCATATTCCAGACAGATTTTGTTTTTGTAGCAGAATTGAGCCTGTTGACGTATTCTTTCAGCATTCTTTTTGGTTTCTTTAAATATTTTCCATGCTTCTGCTCGGAGTTGCTTAAATTGCAGCAAATTAGATGTTGTAGGTTGTTTATTGAATTCTCCCAGAGTTGCTCTTCGTAACCTGATGGCTTTTTTTTATATTCATCATTGAATGAAGGTCTGATGCGTTGTTATGGTGCAAGATTTTTGGGAATGCATTTTTAGCATTTTCCACTAGTTTTTCAGAACATTGGATTTTAAATTCTTCCAAATTCTCTTTGCTTAATTTCCAACGGAAAGGTTTATTTTATCGTTATGTTCTGAGTTTTCGTAGGGCGATTAGCTACCGCATGTGTCTGCCAGTATCTTCCAAGAGAAATCCATGTAAATTGATATATTAAATATATATTAAATTTACTGCCGAGCAGCTGCCAGTAAAAGTATTTATGTAAGTCGGTGTCTTATCATTATAAATGCATAAATCGTTGTTATTAATTACTGTTCCTAAGGTCCTTACTTTTTAGTTTGTGTCCTTAAAACCCTATATGATTCTGTGACAGTTAAAGCCGAATAGTATCGTAAAAAGTGCAGGGAGCTGACTTAAGATTTCATGAATTTTAGCTTAGATATATATTGAGGAATTTTTATTGGCTTCTGTAAGGTCAATTTAACAGCAGTCGCCTGTAAAGCTGTTAAAATTATTAAAAATTATTAATGTTGATCTAGTAAAATTCACTGCCTGTGCTCCCCACCCACGTCGGAGCCCGAAATTGGGACGTGTAAAAGTGGAAACCAAGTTACTGTGACAGGTTAGGGTACAAAACCAGTGTACTCGTATTCGAGAGAGTCTCTGAGCTCCCGTTAAGCCATTTGTTGCACTTAAGTGTACAAACTAGCATGTTTACAGCCATGTATAAGACTAGATCTCTTCGAACAGATTGACCCTCAGTCATCGCCTTCTAACGCTTATAAATTGTATAGAGATGGTATTTTATAGAGGTGTATACTTAGGGTATTATATTTTGTTAAAAAGTACTCCATAAATTGATATAGCTATAGACGCTAGGGCTTGGCATGACCAGCCAAATGATCGGATCGGGTCTCTCCGATCGCCCGTCTAGTCTAAGTGGTACATTGTGAATCAGTAGTATCTAACCCTGACACCTGAAGCCCTCAACCATCAGAATCTATTCCCTAGACATTACTGGTCGCAACCGATGGCAAACAGGCGGCCTCATGGGGGGGGATCTTACCCCTCTGCTAAGGGGCAGTCGGGGCGTATTCTAAAGCCCCAGCCGATAGTGAGGACAGAAACATGTGACCTCACAGCCGCACTCAGTTCTGTAAGAATGGAAATGAAATGCATGAGTGAGATCAACAACCTCCCTGGGAGTCTCACAGACTTCGCAGATGAGAACGTAATGCCCAGGTTCTTATTATGGGCTCAGAGTCGCATTACACAGTGGTTGAAGAATGCTAACGTGGTCGAGGATCACTGGCATAGAAGTAAGTAAAGGCCGGTGTTGATGGCAGATACAGAAAGCAAATTGCAGGAACTCCTCAAAGACGTACAAAATGGCAAGATCAAAGAACTTAGTCAGTTATGTGCCATGCGTGATGCACGCTTAGGCGATCATATATCTTTCGATTTTTTCCAACAGTAGGTTGCTATTTCTTTCTGCGATCGGCTTGTTGCCATCCAAAGCTATAGAAACTGCTCTGTATTTACCCATAGCTGGGAGGAGGAGAAGAGGATTCATACCTTTCAGAAGGGTATTAGCACGTAAGTGAAGGTAATGGAATCGACTGGAACTCGGCTCTCCGATTCCTCAATCCGAGCCGCTATCCGTGCCTCCCACTCACTATCAATTTAACTGACAAGGAAACGTTATGACAAACAAATGGAAAATGTGGCACCGAAATCCGAAGGCGAATTAGAATAGCAAAAAATGTCTTCCAAAATGTCTTCCAAAAGCTAAAGCAATTATAAAATAAAATTTCGTTATATAACGTAGAAAAGAGCGATGAACTGAGATGTAATATCGGTCCTCGTATATATGAACATCGAATGCTGGACAATTTCCTCATAGATAACGAGAATACTAGATGTAACTGCGATATTGTTCTACAGAAGGATGCTGAGAATATCGTAGACGGAACTTGTGAGTAACCTGGAATTTTAGAAGAAAATTGAAATGACAATAATACTTGTGTTTAAGATTAGAAAAAATAATTGAAATTTCTGGGACGTATAATGAAGAAAGTCAGCTGGGAGATTTCGATACTTACATGGTGTGCTGAATGCATGGGGAATAGAGATTCATATGCCTGACTAGCTTGTGTAAATGGATTGAAAAATATAGATTAGGAATAATAGTAAGGGGACAAAGCTTGCTTAGTGTTATAACGTTCAGGATTTTGTGGAGAGCCATGATCAAACAGATCCTGAAGTGGTACGCAACAGAGAAGAAAAAGAAGATTCTCTCTGAAAGTGATCATTTTTTTCTTCTAAGGCTTGTGGCCCTGAGAAAAGCCAATGTCTGGATTGGTTGAAATGTAATAACCTTCAAAACCTGCATCTCAACAAAGCTAACAGCTCTTGCGAAAACTAAGCATCGCTTTAAAAAGATCAATCTCCTTGGACATTCACAGTTCAACAATCTTGATAGTTATTCTGCTTCAAGGTCGATTAGGACTTTGCTTTCGTGTTGTACGGAATCGTCTCGATGTGAGTCATCGGTTAGTACTGGGTAAACAA